TCGATATCAAAGGTGCATTCGATTCGGTTGATCGATGTGCCCTTTGGAATTGTCCACTCAGGAAAGGTGTGCCCGAGAAATATGTAAATATTATCCAAGCATTATATGCGCGTAGCGCGGGCAGAGTGAGGGCTTACGGCAAGCTGTCGCCACCCTTCAATATCTCCAGCGGTGTGAGACAAAGATGCCCGCTGTCACCTTTCCTATTCAACTTCGCTATTGACGAAGTCATGGAGATTGCATTTACAGGACATGACTTGGAAGGTGTGGAGCTACTCCCAGGAGAACGACTTCTTGACTTAGAGTATGCAGACGACATTGCCCTCATCTGTGACAGCTCCCAGACGTGTCAAGCCGCGCTGGACAGATTAGCACTGGCTGTCAGTCGCTTCGGGCTTTGCTTTGCACCACCGAAGTGCAAAGCGTTCCTCCAGGATTGGCAGGGTTCGCCCCCTGTGCTGACCCTTGGTGGGGATCAGCTAGAAGTCGTTCAGAAATTCAATTACCTGGGAAGTTGTATCAGCGCCCTTGGGATCGAAGACGAGATCACGAACCGCATAGCGAAAGCTCGAAGTGCTTTTGCTAACCTTCGCCACCTATGGCGACGGCGCGACATTACTCTCGCCCTGAATGGTAGAGTGTACAATGCAGCGGTACGTTCGACCTTACTGTACGGTTGCGAAACCTGGCCCCTAAGATCGGCGGACATGAAGAGGCTACTTACGTTCGACCATCGGTGCCTTCGCAGTTTGGCTCACATCTGGTGGGAACACCGCGTGAGTAACGAGCGTGTTCGACGCCTTGTTTACGGCCTAGGAAAAGGGAATGAACCGCTCAGCACCGTCATTTCACTCACCAGGCTCCGATGGCTGGGCCACGTGTTGCGCATGCCAGCCCACCGACTCCCTCGACGTGCGTTGTTTGCTCACCGGGGATGTGGGTGGAAGAAGAGGAGAGGTGGCCAAGCGATGACTTGGTCCAGAGGAATGAAGGCCCTCACTTCGGAGCTGGCCTCGGTTGGAGCTTCGCGGCTCCCTGGTTGGGGTCCAAAAGACGGTGAACACGTTTGGCTGGATACACTTGCTGATATGGCAAGGAGCCGACCTCAGTGGCGTTCCTGCTGTGAGTTTCTTTGTCCCTCACCATCCCTTTTAGCCTCCCCCTCCATCTACGATCTTATTTCGTAGGGTAAAACGTAATTAAATTTTTGTTTTTGCCTAGTAGCCGGCTAGTAGCTTACCGGAACGATGCGTATCCGTTGCTGGTAGCTCAGCTGGCATTCAACTGTCGTATTAATTTTTTCCTTTATGTATTGTATGTATGTATGTATTTCCTTTATGTATTGCGGTACAATAGCGGAGGTGTTTTACTATCTCTAGCTGACATGTATAATGATGATGATGATGCTCCATATAAACCATGTGCCTCAGCTTCGTTCACATTTGCGTTGTTTGCAGATGACTGGGAGGGGTGGAGAGTAATCCGCACACCCAGTGACTGTGACCTACTTCAGCGGGACTTCGACCACCTCTCAATGTGGTCTGCAGAGATCTAACTTCCGATCAACTCAATCAGGTCGCAATTTATGAGGCTTAAGTGTGAGCACAGGCAAACCTACCCTGTGACCGGTCAATTGTTGCATCCCGCGCCTTTCGTGCGCGACCTCGGTGTACTCTCACGCTGTTACTTAAAGTCCGTGAACAATATGAATCAGCTCCACCAAAACGGACTTGGTATACTTTGAACGCTTACGCGCAACTTCAGAACTTGGTTCGAAGGGATTTCCACTCGCCTCATCATCTCACTAATGCAAACAATGCTCATCCGCATTCTCTTATCACCCGGAACGTGGTAGAAAGGATTGAATGCGAATACCATGCGACCACCACGCCCATCCCCATTCTACTAGATGTGCCCTACGAAGACCGGTGCAAGATACTAGGGCTTTACACCCTATCTTATCGCCGATTGCGAGTTGACCTCATCATGACGCACCGGAAATTGATGTTTACCCCGTATACGCACACCAAGCAGCACGCGAAGACACCGGTACAAGTTGTAGTACCGGATTTGAATCGGGTCACCCACTAACTCTGTTTCGACCGCAGAGTGGTGAATATATGGAACAACTTGCCATTGCATGTATTCGAAGCAAAGTCTGGGTCATAATTCTCTAAACTCCTAGACAAACACTTTGCCGATATGAAATATATCGAGCCTGCTCCAACGTAACAAGTCTTAGTACCTGAAGGATTTTAGGTGCAGCTACACAGAGACATTTCTTCTTGCTGCTTCAATCCAGTATACAGTATTCCTTCGATCTTATGACCAGCAGTGCCCTCAAGTCTCTGATCATCATTGTCTGCGAAGCATTAGCGGTATCGGATGGCACCAGCATGTGCGCAACGATGATGTGCGTAGGTGAGTACTAAACCGTGGTAATTATGCTAGTTCCTTAGAATAACGGATAGCACTGGATGAGTTGCGTTGGCTTGGGCACGTACTACGCATACCTCGTCACCGCTTACTGTGGATGACCTTGTTTTGTTTGTCCGATGTTGGGTGGCGTAATGCCCGAGGTGGGCAAAAGATAACTTGTCAGCGGGAAATGAGTTCAGTGAGTACCTATTTTATCGCCACTGGTATGTTTCGCCTTCCATGCTGAAATGCTCGTGACCGGCGTTGTGCTTGATTGGAGACGTTAAGGGATATGGCTCGCAGTCGGCACCAGTGACGTCTGCTGGCCTCTCTCGTTTGGCTGCCTGTTTGGTGCTGAGTTACCTGCGGGGTAATGGCTACTTATGACGAATGGTGAAAGCCGCAAGGAAACTCTTTCGCTGATATCCCTATCTACACGATAACCAGCTGTTTGTGACGGTGTTGTACGGCTGCGGAGCCACAGTTCAAATGACTTTTGTACTACTGTTGTTGATGATGATTGATCCCCACAGTTGTACACAGATATGCAATTCAAACGATTGGCTCAACATGAATTGTTACTCCGAGATGGCCTGAGTTGACTTCTATTTGTTATTAAAGATAAACCTTTATCGAGCGATGAATGTCTTCACAACCAGAATATAGTAAAATGTCGCTCTAATGAATGCCAATATAACAAAATATTCGGCGTATCGAAACTTTCATAAAGTAAGGCCCGGAATATCGCGTACCGGTACGATATAACATCTGGTGTGTTGAAAAATTGCAGCAATCCTCTTGTAACTGCTGCGTATCACAACTGTATGTATTGCTTTGTTTTATTATGACGAAATTTCGCTGTGACGAATTAATTTTGTAGAATAGAAAACCTTAACGTGGAGGATAAATTAATGCTTTCGTTTGACGTAGAATCACTTTTCACGAACGTGCCGTTGGTAGAGACTGTTACATTCATTTGTGATTTCATCACTGAGAGAAACATTGATGTTGGAATTCCAGTGAATAAATTAAGGGAATTGATTCTGCGTTGCACCTTCAACGTACAATTTCTGTTTAATGGAATCTATTATAGACAGATAGATGGCCGACATCTTTCTTTCAAAGCTTGAACGTGGCGACCTGAACACCCTTATATCTTCATTTGATTTATACTACGGTTACATGGACGACACTTTCATTGTCTGTGACTCTTCCATCGATTATCTAACCCTATTAGATCAGTTTCACAGAGTTCATCCATTATTAAAGTTCACCAGTGAAATTGAGCATGATGGCTGCTTGGCATTCTTAGACGTTCTATTGCATCCACGTAAAAACGGGACGATCAAAAGGAGTGTTTTTCGCAAAGCGACGTGGGTAAGTCAATATACCCACTTTCTTAGCTTTGTACCCCTGAGATACAAGAGGAATTTAGTCCGTTGCTTATACCATCGTGCCAGAGCAATTTGCAGTCCAGAGACGTTAGAAAGCGAAACCAAGCTCATCTTTAACACGCTGCAAGAAAATGGATACCTCGTACCTTTCATCAAAAAGCACTTCAAACAACTTGAGGCTATCAAACGTGTCGCTACAGTGCCTAAAAAGGATGTATTCTTAACAGTTCCCTTTAAAGATGACGTCGCGTTCGAACTGTTGAATAGAAAAATCTCGACCGCAGTGACGACGACATTTCCAGCCGCCAATCTAAAACTACTTGCCGAAACAAGACCATTGATTCTTCAGCACTTCAAGGATAAACTCCCGGTTCGGTCCGAATCGTTTATCTTATACCAGTTCACCTGCACCTGTTGTGCTAGGTATCTTGGACATATGACCAGGTTTTTGTCCAAAAGAATCGCTGAACATTGTCCTGCGTCACTACGAAAAGGCACGGTAAAATCCATCAACAGTTTGGTATTACAACACTTGGTCGACACTGGACACCAAGTCCAGATGAACAAGTCGTTTCGAGTCGTTCATACCATCCCTAAACGCTACCCAAAACAGCTTAAGAAACATTTGTTGAGCATTTCTGAAGCCATTGCTATCAAGCTTCTAAAACCAGAGTTGTGCAAACAGCGCACACTGCTACAGGCTCTGAAATTGCCTTGGCCTTGAACTTCACCTGCTTCCTAATGCGACAATCTGATTGATCAAATCATTGATTTAGTTTTCATATTGCCCAGTTAATAAGTTGGTTGCTCTCTGTACAGTCCTCTCCGGACTTTATTCTCTCCAAAAAAATTTTACTTCATAATTGTACACCCCTGATGAGAATTATCGAAAAGAATATTCTTCGCGCATTTGCTTACTTCTAATTTTTGTAGTCCCCATAGTTCCGTTATACTTGTGTTTCGCTGTATATACGTCCACCAGTTTGCACCGAAATGATGATAACTTTTGCAGCACAGTTATTCAGTGAAATGTTGTTTCCCTATTTTCTATCTACTGATGCTCTTCGACTCCGCTCTCTCAGTTCTTTCGTTTCATTTGTTCCTGTGGCATGTTGTATGGAATTCGACATTATATGCCATTGCATCTATTGATCTTAAACTTTGCTATTACTGTTACCGCTTTTTCAGTGCTTGCGAAGCGAAGTTCGCCTCAAAAGTCGATGCCTTTGAATCATTCATTAGTCAGCACGGATCACTTTTGCGAGGCTGTCCAATAATTGTGAATTACGCCTTCAAACCGGTTCGTCACAACCCTTTTACAATTTTCATACTCTATTTGGTGCGCACTTATTGCGCACTCTCTCCATTTATCATCGCACGTTGAACCGACGTCACTAGTTTGTGCGGCTTCACCATTCACTGAAGTTGAGCATTCTCATTCTGTGATTGTCATTTATGCCATTTGCGTGCTCTGTTTACATAAATTCGTCTCACCCGCTCAGAGCTTTCGTGCACGCGTTTCTCCCATCTATTCGTGATCCCCTTCTATCCACAAACTCCTCGTTTGTCACTCATGGTGGACTGATTCTTTTGACATTATTTTTAACTTTATTCCTCCTCAACTTTTAGGGCAAACCGAAGCTGCACACCCCTTCCGATTCTGCGAAACAATCCAATCGGTCATTCCGTGCTAATCGCCCCAACGTTGGTATAGCAGTCAAGCGCGACGGATCACCGACGCATGATCAACAGCAGGATACTGCTGCTCCATCTCCGGATAAAATGAGTGCGGATGTTGAAAACAATTTCGACGAGAATCGTTTGAAGTTGGAGGAACCAGCAAAAAATTTCAAACTTGCTAAGAAAACATCAGTAAAGCCCGAACATGCGTCGTCTATCGGCTCTGAGGTGGGGAGAAATACACCTGGAAAGATAAATAAGTTGAAGAAAGCCAAGGCGCATCACAAAACGTTAAAGATTAACAAGATTAGATTACTTTGAGTCAAGGTAAGTTTTCCTAGTCCCAATTTTTTTGAAATATTACTGTTTCTATCTTTACTCAGTTGATACTAAGGCTAAATGGGAAGTGTTAATCAGTTTCCTGTTTTGATTAGATAGAAGCGAGCCACAGTTGTGTAACAGCAAATTTATCCAACCTACCCTCCACTGAGACTGATGCAATTCGTATTGCCTAGTTTCTGTGTCAGTGAAAGGTAGGCCATATAACGCTGCCGTAAGGCCTGTATGGATCAGAGACTGGGCCAGTTCGCGGCGAAGAAATTAAACGCTTGACCGTATTTGACCGCCAGTGCTTGCGGAGTATTGTGCACGTCTGATAACAACACCTGGTGAGAAATGCTGAGGTCCGCCAGTTGATTTTTGGTTAGAAGCTTTCTAGTGCCTCACTCTAGTGTTTGCTGAATCTTAATCGCTTGCGTTTTGATTGGCCATATCCTCCGTGTGTCCGTTAACCGGCTCCCTCTGCGTGCATTATACGGAGGGGCTGCACCAAGTTGTGTGAAACCGCTAAGTGCTCAGTCCATGACTGGGAGACTTGGTCAGGTTGGTGTATGTCGTCTTCATGGATGGGGGCCTCGGGATGGTCCACGCCAACGGTTGGAGACCGTATCACACATAGCGAAGTCACGCAGTCCTTTCCTTTTTCCGATCTCTGTTCAAGCATTTCGGCGCCCACTTCACTGACGAACCGCGCATGTCTGGCGCAGTGAAAATAACAAACTCATCACGTGTGATATCCACTGCCTGAGCTATTTGTTTTCACTGATGCTCACCGGTTCTCCACAGTCGGTTCATAAGCAGCATTGTAGGTTACCGGGTCAGTTGACGTAGGCGGCCGCCCAGTATTGAAACGATATATCCAACTTTACACGGTGTTGTATGGGGACACATTTTCCACACTGTGATTGTCATTTACTAAACTTTTCTAGTGAAACAAAAGCCTCATGGCAACCCGTAACTTAAACGGTGTACCTTGTACCTTTATCACCATAGATACTACCTAAAACCACAAGCTACCATTAGAATCAGGAACATTTTCATGTTGCCAGGCACATAATAAACAATTGTGATATCATACGCCCCTGCATTCCCTTGTTTACTTTATCTGGAAGAGAGCAAAGTCCGGAACTTATCAGCAACTTTTCATACATTTTCACTTTAAGGCACATTTGTCGGTATTACTACAGTTGTTCCTATTACACTGTGGATTTCATGAGGTGGATAGCGTCTGTCACACGGATGTAAACCAGTAGTTCTATCTAGCATATCATACTGGCGGTTAAGACGGTGGCGAAAGCTTCACTTCAGGTTATTTATGTTCTACTGTTGCTGATGCCGAATAATCTCAACGTATTCAGCACTAGAACCATGAAACCTCGTTTGACTTCCAAAGTGGTACGTTTGGTGCTTATTGCCAGCAGTACCTTGTATCGATTTCTCCGTCGCCACATCACCTTAATGAGGTGGTTTGGAAACATTCGAGAAAGGGCCCAGTGTTTCAAGCAAACCTTTACCAATCAGGGAGCCTGCCTGCCGTACAGTGCACATTATCATGTGAAGACAAGGTGACATCGGCAACGTAGCTTTCTTGTAACTTTCACTGCCTCACATAGTCATAATTATCTCACAGATAACTTGGCACCGAGCACATTGTAGACGGTCGTTCGTGCCTGGTAGTAGTAAACCCACCGCTGGCGTCTGTTGTCAGTCAGACCTTGTAATTTTTAAGACCAGATACGTTTCGCGTTACTTGGGCGTCAACGTCGCATGTACTATAGATCATCGGCGCTCAGTTTGGCCGTTCTTGTGATTAGATAAATAAATAAATGGTGTATTTCTCGATTTTGCCAGACAGACCGATTCCGTCATCTGATCATATTGTACAACATAATCACATAGTGAAGAAGTTTAACAATGTTAAATCTGAACTGTTACGAGTTTGCTATCAATTAAAAGTGGTGCAAGCAAGAGCTGCTAGTAAGAATAATTGTAAGAATCCTCATCAGTTCAAGTAAAGTAACACGGCCATCCAAGGAACCGTCCCCTGGGGACCTGCTTCCATACGGGGCAAGTCCCTCAAGAGGTTTCATCCGCACTTCCACGTCTCATCTGGCCATGCGCTGTTGGGTTTTAAAGCAGATAGGCCTCACTAATTTGACTCGTTTAATTTATTTTTTGGTCAAGAAAATTGTCTTAGTTGAGAGACCGCATAAGTCTGGAGAATTGAGACCAATAGACAGATCGGATAGGACCATACAATATTGTGGTTTCCATGATTTCAGGCAGAGGTAATACAGCACTTAACAACGTTATGATCACTGCCCGAGTATTTACCCAGGACAGTTACATCAACACATGAGATGTTATGAGTGAATACTAGATCCAGGCTGTTGTTCATACGTGTGCCAGAGGTAACTTCTTGTGCCTAGCCTGTTATACCGATACTTGCTAAGGAGTCTGCGTATTTTTGAGGACCGGAGAGTGAAGCCCACGACACTTCTGACATGTTGAATTCCACAGCAATAGTCTTCGCTGTGGATCACTGTGTTGCTGCGCACTGGAAGGCCTTCCTAAGTTTAACAAGTGCGGAGTCGTTGCAAGCTGGTGGGTTCCAGACGCAGCCCACCAATAGGTCCAGATTGTTAAAGGATGTCCTTATCCATACAGAGCCATCAACTGAGCACGGATGAGAGTCAGTCAAACGCAAATAGAACAGCCCTCACCTCTACCCGTTAGATGACTTTTGCGAATTAGTTTATAGCACGGTAGTTGAATAAGCGTATTTGGTGTTTCGTCTTTACACTAAGTTTCAGTAATGAGCAGCACGTGAGGGTAAACAAGTACAACCATGTGTTGAAGTATGTGCATTTTGTTAAGAAGAGAACGAGCGTTAATAAGAAAGAGTAGGAGACTATTTCGCGGTCTAGTAGATTCTAATATGTTCCTAGGAAGTTGCTGTGGTTCACACTGATCCGCAGATGTGGGTGAATTTAATTGCACTAGCTATAATTGCTCTTGGGTGGGCTGGCCACTTCAGGAACATTTGAAACAGTTGGGTTGTCCCTTGGTCGCGAACCATCGCCGGAAAGTTGTTGACTGGAGTGGTGGTCGCTACCGGATACCGTGAAAATGATTGTGGTTAGCCGAATGTACCCCATTAGCACCCTCAGAGTTAGTGTTACTTACACCTGGAGCTGGAATTCTGTTTGCGCATAACGTCGGCTTGGCGACAGGCGCTGCATCTGGGTAAAGATGCTGTGTTAGAGTGCCTGTCACGTTTGTGAACGCCACTCTTTTTTGAATGATGGTGTTCTGGAGTCCATTGAGTTGACGTATATTGTGCTCTTCGTTTAATTACTGGTTCACATCATCTTGATTCTTCAAATGCACTAATACTGGACAATGTTGCATAGGGGATCCGCGGCCTAGTCTTTGCGCGCGTAGGCAAACCTTACTGTTCCCAAGTACTACTTCTATGGTGCTAGTAAATTGGTCTATGCTCACGGAATCGGGATCGTTAAGTGCCACTAGTGTGTGTATACACGCTTTTACTCATTTTGATCCTATTATTAAATCAACACTATCAGCTGGTTCAGTAAGTGGTTTCTGTTGGTTGTATGATACTGCTTCGCGAGGGGCACCTAGAATAGATGATGATTGTGGTAACCATTTGAGCAAGGTCCATTGGCTCAATCTCATTGGTTGGCTTGCTGACTCATTCCTACCTTACCATTGGTCGTGTGTCCGTTGTTTGACTCCGTTTAACGAGGGATTGAGACTCAGTTGTACTTGGTTATTTTATGAGATACATTTTTACCTGTTCTGCGGCTTTCTTGATACAGCATCAGTGGCGTCGCGGAGGCAAAAATGAACCTTTCCATCCAACCCATATCTCCTTTTTGGACTGATTGCGGCAGCAGACTGACATCGGATGCCTGGTTCCGTTGGAAATCATCCTTCCTAAACTACTTGGATTTAATCAGCGATCTCCCTACTGCTCTTAGTGAGGATAAAAGATTGAAGCTGCTTCGACATTTACTCGGAGATGAGGGGCAGCGGCAATTCGATGATTTGGGTCTCCAGGGATACAAATCGGTTATGGACGCCTTCAATGCTCTCGATCGTGCATGGAGTTACCAAATGAACGTGTTTACCGCGCGATATATTTTCTCCCGAATACACCAAGAAGCAGGCGAACCCTTGAATGATTTCATTGCTCGGCTGAGTCGTGCTGTACGACCGTGTGCCTACTCGTCTATTCCACAGAAAAAGATTGAAGGCTGTATGCTCACTCAGCAGCTGATCACTGGAATCGCTGACAATCGCATACGTGAGGCGCTATTGCAGGAAGACGCTTGCACACTAACGTGAGATCGAGCTTGCGAATTAGCTCGAGTAAAGACGGAAAATTCGTTGTTCCACCAGCTTAGCTGAAGTGGCGAGAGTACAATCTTTCCGGCAATGTCCGACAGACAAACTATCTTGCTATCGTTGTGGAAGCACGTCTCACAAAACTAATTTTGCCGGTTGTCCCGCACGCAGCCTCAAATGTAAAAACTGTGGTAAAATTGGACACTATGCCCGCTGTTGTCGATCACAGGCTGTCGCGCTCATTAAAGAGGATGATACACCGGAATGCCATGTTACCGATCCAACTCAAGACAATATCTGTTCAATCACCGCTGACTCCATACCTTCAGGTTGTGTAACAATATCGGTTGTTGAACCGAAGTTTCCCGCTGCTGACATTCGTACTGTATTGTTCCTTACTGTTAAAGGTGCTGTTCCATTGGAAATGGAACTTGATTCTGCTTCTCCAATCACTGTCGTGCCTTTCCAATTTTATGAACGCTACCTATCACAGCATACTTTACATCCCACCTCACATTCATTCTGGAGTTATAGTGGGAACACACTAACCATATTGGGATTTATTATCGTGCCTTTGCAGTTGCATTCTGTGATTGCCGATGTCGCAGTGT